TGTGGGTAGTGCCTCCTACCCTAGCCACAGGTCCAGACCCGGACCCCCCCGCCACCCTGCCCGAGACCCAAGTTGCAGATGTGTGTGGTGATTGAATCATTTCTGCACACCGTTGCTCACATAGCTCCCTAGGGACCCGCCACTTGCCTATGCAAGCTGTCAGGAGATGTGTGTGCTCTAATGCATCTGGGCGAGCAGCCCGTGTGCGCAAGTACCTGCTCTGGAGTGTGCAGAGGGACACACACAGTACACAGACATCGCTACCTGGATGCACAGGTGTCAGGTTAGTGCAGATTAACTAGTCAGGCCTGAAAAGTGTGAAGGAAAACTCAGTGTTAATAAGATGGTTGTGTGGTGGGCCTGCCACCCTCAGTGCTGTGAATGCCCATGGTATAGTAAGAATCCTCTGTCCCCTGTGTTCAGGGAAGAGCCCACCCAGGGCCCTACAAAAGGTGCCAGCTCATTTGAGCTCTTGGGTCCTCTCCATCCTGCCATGGATATACTCAGAAGAGGTTGGCCTCTTACTCCCTTCAACTCTCAACAGTCCCTTCTCAGAGCAGTTTTGAAGTGCATAGTGGTGGCTAACTCACTGTGCCTGTCTGCTGTACAGGACACAACCAAGGGCAAACTTGACCTGAGCTTTGCTGGGAGATGACAAATATAAACAGAAGGCTCTTCCAGCAAGACCACCTCTGGAAGTTGGGAAGACCCATGTCACCCATGTTACCATCTAAAAGCTTTAATGCATGCAGTGAAGCCCCACCAAGCGAGAAACAAAGGAAAGGGCATAGCTTCAGGAGAGCACTGTCTGGGACACTGGGCCATCTGGAAAAAATGGCTCTCGTGGAATTTTCCAGACTGCAGGCTCCCCAGCTTGGGGACAACCTTTGAGTGTCGAAATCAGTGCTCTACTCTTACTGAGGTAGATTTTTCCAGACAGCCAGAGCTCCAACTCAGAAATCCTTAGATGCTGGAGTTTGGCAGGTTGCCAAGCTAGCCCAGCCCTTCATTACAAATAGGGAAACTGAGGTCCAGCCTTTTGTCCTGTTCACACAGCGGGTGGGTGGTGGGGCAGGTTCTCATCATAGACCCTCAGGCTGACTCAGGGTCCCCCATAGAGCCTCTCTCCTACCCAGAGGCAGTTGGACAGCAGGAATGGTAGAGGCTATCAGGGGCTGTTCTCAGTTGGAACAAAGCCAGGGCTTCAGTGAGTGCTGGAGCTGCAGCCACTAAAGATTTGTAAGGACTTTTAAAGGTTTAAAGGAGTCCAGGCACCCAAAGGCAAAAGTAGTCTAGCTTAACTGCGCTTCTGTGGCAGAGGGGCGACCTCTGCTGGCTGCCAAGCACTCACCACTTCCCACACTGGCAGGGTGTTGAGCTTGGACCCAAGGTGGCCTTGGAAACAACTGGCTTTGGGCAAGTTGAGTGGAACAAAGACATCTTTGGGGGCCCAGTCATGGCTTGAGATAGGAATAGCCAGAAACTCTGGCCACCAGTCTTAAGTATGAGAAGAATAACATTAATAGTTAGAAAGGCAGAGAGCTTAGCCCAGCATCATCCTCGTTGCATGACCTTGGGGGAGTCACTTCAGTTTTCCAAGTCTTTAAGGACTGAGAAAAATAGTCATACCTCAGGCCCGGCCTGCTGATGATGTAGCAGGTGCGGAAATCAGACCGTCCCCTCTGTGCCCCATTTCTCTTGCCTTGTGCTAACCCTCCTCAGGTCCTGGACCGTTAGCCCTCAAGGCCTTGCCTCTTGCACTGTGGAATTCAGACCCTCCATTTCTATCCATTCCTGGTGTTAATAACCCCATTTTCTGCCAATGAGCTCAGTAGTTTAAAAAATGTCATCTCAGATATGTATGGTGGCACATGCCTATAATCCCAGCCCTTAAGAGGCTAAAGCAGGAGGATTATGACTTCAAGGCCAGCCTGGAAGACCCTACATAGAGAGACCCTCTCTGAAAAAAAATTAAAAGAAAAAATACACTTAATGTCAGCTTACCCAATCACTTGTAGATTGAAACATAGGATGGTGAGGTTTGGTGGCTCACACTTGTAATCCCAGCACTGGGGAGGCTGAAGCAGGTAGATTACCCATGAGTTTGAGACCAGCTTGAGACACAAATTGAGATCCTGTGTGTGTGTGTGTGTGTGAGAGAGAGAGAGAGAGAGAGAGAGAGAAACACCTGACAGCTGCCTACCCACCCTGTGAGTCTCAGGTATTGAAAGCCCAGATGGTCACATTTTGATTCCCTAGGCTAGAGCCTGGGCCTGGAGCCTAGACCTAGGTAGACATGGGCCATGCAACCTTGGACAAAAACCACTGTGGGCCTCAGGTTCCCCCAGACAAAATCAATGGAACCAGTAGGCCGAGGACATGGTTGCTCAAAGGTATCCTGTAGATCTTCGAATCCAGAGACCCCATGGAGGCCAGCCTTGTCTAGAATGGTTCTAGCTCTTTGCTGTTTGCCTCCTAAATGAGACCCAGAGCCCTGCCAGCCAGCCCTGCCAGCTCTCAAAAGGGAAATGCAGCCCTGGGGACCAGAAAGCTCCTAGTGTTTGCTGGAGGCTTCTTTGAGTGTGCAAAGCACCCTCAGGCTACAGCTGTCTATATTTACCAATCATGTCTCTAGGTCCCCTGTGTTTTTGGTTCTGGACAAAATGCCATGACCAGCCTGGGAGAAGATTCTCCCTGGAGGTAGGGCTTGGTGAGGGCAAATAAGAGGTAGCCAGAGGACCCCAAACCCTCAGAGTGAAGGTTTCTGGCCCTCAGGGTGCTAAAGTTTGTCAGTGGTGCCCCCTGCTGGTTGCTTGGGCCATGGTAGCCTTTTTTCCTAGTTAACAGTCTATGGACTGGGGGCAGATCTACTCAGACCTGGGATTTCTTTGTGCTTCCTTTCAAGCTCCCAAGCCAGTCACTGAGCTGATCCGGCCTTGTTTTTCTGGGTTCCTTTGGCTCAGTGTTCTTGTGCTAGTCAGCTTCAGAAACCAGACTCTTTCAGTTTACTTTTATTTTATGTTTACTTTTATTTTATGTGTGTTTGCCTGCATGCACCACATGCATGTGTGGTATCTGTAGAGGCCAGAAGAAGGTGTTGAATCCTCTGGAACTGGAGTTACCAATGGTTGTTAGCCACTATGTAGGTGTTGGGAACTGAACCTGGGTCCTCTGAAAGAGCAACAAGTTCTCTTAACTGCTGCACCATCTTTCCAGCCCCAGAAACCATACTTTTTCTGGGACCCTGGCTGCCATTATTCACCCATGCCTGGAGTGCACTGGTCCTTCACAGCCCTTGAGCCAGGAATCAAGACAGCATGAGAGAAGGTGCTACTGGCTTGCTTCTGCTCTGAGCCCTCCCTTGTCCCTGTGTACCCTGTGGTTGGTCCCTGATCCCAAGAGGGGTCACCTGAGTACTGACTGAGGCTCTGTGTAGATGCACTCAGGAGGAGACAGCTCTCCTTGGGGGAACCTCTGAGGGTAACGAGGGAACTGTTACCTCCACAGATCCTGTTCCATGGGCTCTCACAGGAAAGGCAGGATTCTGGACCTGGTTTTTATGGAATCAACGGTAAACTGAGCCTTTGTTTCTTCACCTACAAAGTGGAAATGATTCAGTGCCTGTCAGTGCACAGACACTGAACCAGCATTTGACTATTAATGGGAAAAATTCCACCAACTGTCACCTAGTAGGTGACCTAGGGTGAATGCAGGCTTGAAGCAAGAGTTTCTTTTTTCCTGTCTGTCTTTCTGTTTTTTCCTCTTGAGACAGTCTTTCCCAGGGTGACCTTGAACTGATGATCCTCCTACTTAGCCTTCCAAATGCTGAGATTACACAACCATGAGTCCCTTGAACAATAGGCCAATGGACTGGCAAGCCTTGAGATGATAAATAAATGATGGACAGGGATTTGGGTGTCAGGGAGTATAAACATCTGGCAAGTGGTCCCTACCACAGGGCAGTGGGAAGGGTGGTGGTTAGCAAGATGAGACTGGGAGACATTAATACAACCACGACCCCCCCCGCCCCCGCCACTTTTACCTTTCGTGCCGGAAAGCTCAAAGACAAAGCCCATATCAAAGCTTACAGATGACCAAATGATCCACCCTCTACTTCCATGAGCGTGTTCTCTGGATAACCCACACTTGGGGATGCTTCACTCCCAACAATGAGCCCAGGGAAGCAGCTTCAAACTTCTTCAGGTCTGGCTGCCATTGGAGCCCCATGTATGGAGGGTTCCTGGAGCTGTCTGGATTGAGGAAGCCTTCACTTTACTCCCCGCTGGGGAAAGAAACCCCCTTTGTCAATCTCCCCAACTCGCCCATCCTGAAGGTGGAGCCTGGCACCCAGGACATGCTGCTAAGTCCAGTTTTACAAAGGTGGCATGGGCTGCCTGCTGGTCAGAAGCAGCTCCCTGCCTCTCTCTGAGCCTCAGTGTCCTTCTCTGGAAACTGATCGTGGTACTAATTCCTGCCCCCCCCACTTCCCAGAGGGGCGAAGGAGAAAAGTAGAGCCCCTTGACTCTGGATGGTTTGTGAAGTATAAAGAACTCTGAAGCCAGGGGAGCCTGAGGTGAGCACATGGGGATGACCCTGCAAAAGAAGCCTGCCACAAGGCACATGTGCAGTGAAGGTCATGGGTCACATGGGAAGAGCCACAGAATGGCCTAAGCCTTGAACCAGGAATCTGAAGCTAGGCTACTTTCCTCTACTCCACCAGTGTACACGTGTGCGTACATACACACTTCCCCTAATATGTGTACCTACATGTATGTACCCTCATCTTCCAGTGGGCACACTCACCCAGGCTCATAGGGGCCACACATAGAGAACACCAAGGAGCCCCTCCCAGATCCTCCATGTCAGCTGTACCTTGTGGCCCTGTAGGCTGAGTGAGGGGACAAGGCATGCTGGACACTCAGTGGGAGGCTAGCTGGAAGACTATGCAAGGTTGGCAAGCCTGGCGCCACTCCGTGACACTCTCACTTCTCTCTTCCCAGACTGGACCACGTTCATGGCTCTCGGGTAGAACCCAGTGAAACGGCCAGAATGAATTCTATGGACAGGCACATCCAGCAGACCAATGACCGTCTGCAGTGCATCAAGCAGGTAAATGTGGCTGGCCAGTGGGGTTGGTGGGGCAGACAGGGAGTAGATCTGTGCTACAGTAGGGCATTCATGGGTACCCGTAAAGGAGAAAGCAGACATGAGGCAGCCTACCACTGCAGTCACACACACCTGACTTTGAAGGCTTGCACCGCCTCATTCCCACCCAGCGGAGTGACTCGGGCTCATGCCCTGTCTTCTCTGGGCTCTCCTGTGCTTTGAACTTCGATGCACAGGCACTGAAGTACCTAAATTGTGAGCCCCTTTCTGCCACCTCCCTTCCCGACCTGTGTGCCCAGGCCCTTTGCTCCAGCTGCTTGCCAATGGCAAAGAGAAGAAGGCTGGTTTGATGTCACACTCCTGTGACCCCAGAACTAGGAAAATGCAGACAGAGATTCGGGAATTCAAGGTCAAGGTCACCTTCAGCTACATACTGAGTTTGAGGCCAACCTGAGTTACATGAGACCCCTGTAAAAAAGTTTCAAGAGAAGAAAAGGTTCGGGAAAAAAAATCATCTCACAGGAAAGAAAACTGAGCCCCAGAAAGGGAACAAGAGCCACCTGAAGTCACACCACCCCAGTGGTAGGTCACCTTGAGCACCTCTCTGCCTGACCCAGGTTGTTGGAAGGCAGAGAACCCATCACTAGACACCCCCAGAGATATCTAGGAATGATGCTATACACAGGGCCCAGCATTCTGCACCGAGAGGTCCGGAAGAAGGCGCTATCAAGTGAAGCATGGCACCAGGCAGCCCAGACTTGAGTTCCTAGTCTTCTGTGTCAGGCTAGGCACTTTATTTCTCCAAGCCTCAGTTTCCCCATGTGTCAGATGGGGCCTATAGGCCTACCTGGGAGAATACATGAAACCCAGGCCTGGTACATAGCAGGTGCTCAGCCAGTGGTAACAGTGACCAAAGATAGTGGTGGCTGGTGTCCTCAGCATCCTGGTGGTGGGAAGGGGTATTCTGGGATGTAGTCTCTGATCACACAGTCTTGGCAGGAAGCTCAGGGAAGCAGCACAGACAGCTGGCCTCAGGCTCCCAACCCGACATAGCTCAGGGGAACCACCTCTCTCTGAGCTCCAGGGCAATGGAACCTCCCCAAGGTGCCCTCCAGTGCAACCAAGACTACTCCATAGGTATGAGGGATTTGTCCTCACCTTAGCCTCAGACAGAACCATCTAGTCATCCCATGCTGGGTCTGAGGGGATGTGGAAGACTCCCTACAGATTGAGCCCATCTCAAACAGACTCCTGAACACCAATTATGTACCTCTGCTCAGAGTAACAGACTAGAAACCAGACAACACCCCCTCTACTTCACCATCACTCCTTGACTCACAGGGCTCTCTCTCCCTGCCCTGCCTTTGACCTAGTTTTCCTGCCCGTGGCTCTGCTGGCAGCAACCCCTGCCCTTTATGTGCCAGGCACTCAGCTCCTGGGCCTGCTATCCTCTAGACTTTCCTCCTCTACCCAACCCTGCATCACCAGGAGTCAGGGTTCCCTTACTCCCTCAGCCTATGCTAGAGCAATCCTCCAGATTTGCAAGTCAGCAAACCTGAGTCTCCATCCTATCACTTAGGAGTTGTGTGACCTAATAAGGTGCCACATCCCTTTGCCTCCTCTGAAAAATGGGCATCCTCATGGATGCTTGTCCAGGGCTAAGGTCTGTCTACTCTATAAGTGCCTTTAGCTATGTGGACTGTGGATTCTCAGGCCTCTTGACTTAATCAGAATAGAAAGGCAAATGTATCTGTCTGCATGCATCCATGGCAAATGTGCTGTTTAAGTGGCCCCTAGCTGATCCAGGCTGTGGCTCCTACCCTGGGCCTCCCACCCTTGGCTTCTTGGAACCATACCTCCTCAGCACAACTTTTCTATCCCCAGCACCTAGGACACCCCAATGTCCTGTGGTCCTTCTCTGCAGCCTCTTGTTTGGTCCTTATCTTCCTTCTCCTCAGCCTCTCAGGGTTAAGAGAACCAAAGCTCCCTCTTTACAAAGTATCCTGCTCCAGGTCTAGTTATCTCAGTACCATACGGAGAGCTCATTGTTCCCAATAGCCTCTTCAGGTTCTAGTCACCCTCCCGAGCATCTGTACACCCCATGCCTGAGCTCAGGAGCTTCTTGGGCACTCCGTAACTTTAGCCATCCTGTTTCTCCTTAGAGCTGGTACATGAGGGTACACTCATCTTAAAGTTTGCAGACTCCTACCTGGTGCTCAGCGGGGTCAGGTGGGGAGAGTATTTTGTGTGGCTACAGGGAAGGGTAGACCTATAGATGGATGCATAAGAGAATGCTAGGTGAGTGGGTGGATGGACATATGGCTGGGGTGTTGATGACTGGGTGGATATAGATGATGGATAGATGAATGAATGGGTGGCTGGCTGGATAAATTGGCTTCTAGATGAATGGACAGATGAATAAGTGGCTAGATAAGAGATGGATAAAGTAGTAAATGGATGAATGGGCAGGTGGGCAAGTAGATATATGGATGGATTCATTCTGGATGGGTAGATAGACACACAGATGGATTGTGCAACTCACAGAGAGACTGGTGGGAAGCTGGATTGATAAGCTGAATCCATCATCTCCACAGGAGCCAACCCTGGTCTGGGCATTGCCACAGACTCAGTGGTATTGGTATAGCTCCACTCCTGAGGAATTGGGTTGCTGGGTAGGTTTTCTGGGGAACAGGGCATTGGTGTCTAGGTCCCACAGCTGGGAACCTCTGCCTGTTATTCAAAATGTGTTCCTGTTCCAGGCTATTCATTCTTACCTTCCCCTGACCCATTTCCTCCCTGTGCCACTGGAGTCTCTTGTGGAGGGATCAGGTGGCAAATCTGCTCAGCAAAGGGGCCATCCTTAGGATAGTTGGCTGCCTACCCATCACTCCTCTCAGACCTCACCTTGTGCCAGTCTAGGGGTCCAGAGGTGCCCATGACATTGTTTCTTCCCTCAAGGAGCTCATAAGAGAATCAAGGTCCTGCAGCAAGTCCCTTGCATACGTGGGAAGCAGCAGACCAAACTGGCCCTGCTGTGTAACCAGCTTCTCCCACACATCATCTCTACACTTGGCTGCAGCCCTGCAAACTGTCACCACCCCACTTCAGAGATGAGGGCTGTGAGGTTCAGTAATGTCCCCAGGGCTACGAAGCTCTTTGGCAGAGGAGGGGTTTGGGCCAGGTGTGCACTTCATATGTCATCAAGACACAACCTCTCTTTGTACTTCAGCCACACTGGGGCTGAGACAGACAACTAGGGCACAGAGAGGAGGCGCCTCACTAAAGCCACAGAGCCACGCAACAGCCGGCTAAGAGGTTGCTCCTATTTGCTCCACCCATGAGATGCACCCCATAATGAGCCAGCTGTCAGTGGAGAAGAGGAAGAACCTTAGGCTGGCAAGACCCAGCAGCCGGGTACCAAAACAGGGTCTGAACAAGACCGTGGTCTGGATTCAGAGGTTAGGTACCCAGATCTCCAAAGGGTATTACTGTGGTCACCAGGAAGTTGGAAGTAGGGGCTCCTGATGCTGCTGACTGAGCATGACATCATGTAAATAAACAGAACACCTGGTTATCTGAGAGTGTGGGCCAGAAGGAGCTGCTGGGCTTCAGCTTTCTAGACTCCAGGTGTTGCCCAGGGCCTCTGGAAGGCACATTTTTTAGAAGAAAACACAGAGGCAGAGACAAGGCCGCTCTCTGGCAAGGCATGGTCTTATATGCACGGCTATGTATACAAGGCTGTGTATGCAAGGCAGTATATGCATGGCTGTTTATGCGTGGCTGTGCATGCAAGGTAGTATATGCATGACTGTGTGTGCATGGCCTTGTGTGCATGACCATGTGTCCTAGTTTGTTTCTTCATTGCTGTGACAAAACACTCTGACCACTACCAACTTGGGAAGGAAAGGGTTTGTTTATCTTAGAACTCCTTGGTCACAGTTCATCAGGGAGCCCAAGGTAGAAACTCCGGGCAGGAACCTGGAGGCAGAAGCTGGAGCACAGGCCATGGAGGAACACTGCTTACTGGCTTGCTCCCCTGGCCCCTACTCAACCTGCTTTCTTATACAACATAGGCCCAGGGGTGGCACCACCCACAGTGGGCTGGGCCCTCCCACATCACTCAACAATCAAGAAGCTGCCCCGTGGACATGGCCACAGACCAGACCAATGAGAGCAATTCCCCAGTTGAGGCTCCTTCAACCCAGATGTGTCAGGTTGACACTAAAGCTATCCAGCACACCATGTGTGCGTGGCCTTGTGTGCATGACTGTGTGCATGGCTTTGCATGCAGAGGTCCCTTCTGTCTTGGGGATCAGGTATAAGGAGCCACAGCTTTGCTCTCAGCTAAGACTGAGAGCCACACACGGCTGGGCTCTCAGGGGAGACCAGTACCAAGCCAAGGGCAGCCCCATGTGGAGCACGACACCTGCCAGGTGCTCTGCCAGGACTGCATAAGCCCCATCTTGTGTAATTCCCACCCAGCCCCATGATGGAGGTTCTGTTTCCTGCTTGCCCCCTTTTTCCCCTCAATTACTTCCTTTTCCTTTCTTTCCACAGAGGCGGGGCATTCCAAGTTCACTTTCTCCTGTTTTTAAACCTTTCTTTGCATGAACCAGTATGTGACAACAGTCATGGAGCCCCAAGTGCAAGGAACCATAATTCCCATGACTATGCCACAGTCTGTCATCCCTATTCTACAGATAGGCAGCTGAAGCCAGAAGAAGTAACAGACCACCCTAGATCAGTAGGAGGTGGGGACAGAGTGACCCCGGAGCCCTGCAGCCCCACCGAGAAGTACACAGCCCCAAGACCTGCCCTGCATTGGCTATAAGGCTGACTCATGCTTCAGGGTGGGGTACAGGGACCATCTAGACCGGTGTCTTCCCACTGTCTCTCCCAGCACCGAGGCAGCAGTTTCTTGAGCTGCTACTTTCTTGTAAGTCTACCCTTAGAGACACCCTGTGGGATCCTCAGGAGGATACAGCCACCCCTGCCACTGGGCCAAGTGCCAGACTTGATCTATAGCTGTGCCTCTAACAAACCCTATGGCCCTAGTCTTTTGGTCTCAATGCCAAATGTCAAGAACCCAGGAAGCCAAGGGTTCACGTTAAGGATGAAACGTTGTCAGGGATCCATTCCTCCCCTCCATGCCACCAGCCTGCCAGCCTGAAGTAGGATCTAAAAGCCCTAGAATTCTGACTCCCTAAGAGCAAGGTGGGAGAAGGAGGTAGACCCAAAAGGGCTCAGAAAATTGTAGCCTGAGGAGCCCAAGGTACTTGGGAACTGGGAGCACTAAGTCATGCACAGCAGACCACATCGTGACAATAATCCAGATACCATGTTCCAAGTCCTGCTTCCCAGTTGGGTGTACACACATACACACACACACACACACACACACACACGCACGCACACAGCTATAACTGAATATCCTCTGAAAGCAGAAATGGGAAGACCTGGGCTGAGGTACAGAGGGTGGGAGATGGTATGAGATGAGTGGTCAGGAAGGAGCCCCCAGGGCCAGCTGGCTTCAAATACTGAGAGCACCTCCAAAATCCTGCCAAGACCTCTCCCCGACCACCTACATCTAGAAAATCCTTGATGACTCTGGCCTTTACTAGCCCTGGTTCTCCCATCTTTGAAGTGGATCACTGGCCTCATCCTGCTCCATGGGCTGGACCTTGTTTAAGGGCATCTGAGAAAGCTCAAGGGCCTGGCCTGCCTTCTGCCCCTTTCTGTTATGTCTCCTTCCTGCCCAGACCTAGGGTTCTCTGTGCCCTGGGCCAGTGCATGCTGCCGGTGTCAGCCAGCCACCCTCCTGTAACCTCAAGCCTCTTCCATCTTCCCCACAGCACTTACAGAATCCTGCTAACTTCCACAATGCTGCCACGGAGTTGCTGGACTGGTGTGGAGACCCGAGAGCTTTCCAGCGGCCCTTCGAGCAAAGCCTCATGGGCTGCCTGACGGTGAGTCTCCACCTCCCCACTGTGCATACCAGGAAGAGCAGATCTGGGACTAGAAGTCTTGTTCATATGTCTTCAGGGCACCAGATCTTGGGGGGCAGATGGCATGCTGGGACTGCATGTCACTCTGCTCTGGGTCTGATGAGTAGGCAGGGTTCCCACGTGTTATGTGGCTTCCTCACACTTGATGAGAAGCATGCCATGGGGGGGCAGTGTTCTTTCAGAAGCAAAGCAGCTAGACTCATGAAGGACTCTGTCTTCTTTTTCTTTGACCGTTCATTCCTTAATTTACTAAGCTTTTATTGCATTCCCCTTTTGGTCACTCATCCATCTATTCAAGAGCATTTACCGAGCTCCTGGTATATTCATCCATCTGGCTAAATAAACCTTGATTGATCTCCCCATTTCTCATATGTGGTCCTCTCTGCCAACTCTTGGGAAGTTCAAAATGAATATAATTTCTCCAAGCCTGATTTCTTAGTAAGGGGCAGCAATATGGAGACATGACTTAGAAAACTGTTGATGGCTAAAGCAGTGTGAATCCTCACTGCCTCGGAGGTGGGTCCAGTCACAGAAAACCACTTACACATATGCTGCAGTTTGCCAAGCAGCTGAAGACAGCCAGAGTATCCTCAGCCCACAAAGTAGCATGTGCAAAGGCCCTGGTGTCCAGAGAACTAAGTAAGCTCTAGAATCCAGACTGGGCAAGGCCAAGATGCAGAGCATGAGGCATGATTTACCAGAGTGGCTACAGAGAAGCACCTGGAAGTCACTTGAAGCTTGTGAGTGTCCCCTAGCCATGTGACCTTCATTTGGAAGCATGAGAGCAGGGGCTTTGCAGCTGGCAATGGTGACCTCTCAGAATACCTGAAGTGGGCTTGGAAGGGAATGTGGATAACACTGTGGGAGCTTGGGTGTCCTGAGCATGGAAAGGAAGCCACACATGCCTGGCCAGGAAGGAATGGTATCACTCAAAGGACTCTAGATTGAAGGGAGGCAAAAAGTTTGGTCCTAGCTTGGAAGTGGAGAAATGGCGACCACATCAGCCCCTTGGGGCTGTAGTGTTCTGAGGAAGACTGGGCTACCTGTGGTATATGCTGCTTCCCAGAATGAACCTGAGGCCAGTCCTTTGAGCTGCCCATTTTATAGAGGACCCTGGGACTCAAAACTGACTGCCATGGCCACCTAGCCTTAGAAGTAGCCTGGACTCTAGCTAAGGCCTGTCTGCTTCTAGAGGGGATGCTCCAGGCCATCAGCAACATGGCCTAGACCCTCCCAGGGCTCCTCTGTGAGTAGCTGACCCTCTCTGGCTCCCTCAGGCCAGCTACAATGTCCCTGTCTTCCTCATCCTTCAGCCCTCAGGCTCCCCTCTCCTCCTAACTACCTAATCCTCTTTGTGGGATCTGGGTCCAGCCTAAGCCCCGTGGACACAGCCAGATGTTTTCCAAGCCACAGCTCCCACCCCAGCTGCCAGCAACTGTAGGGGAAAGAGGGGGTGCAGGTACAGAATGTAGCCAGATAGGCCAGTATGGTCCCCCAGCACACTGCCCCAAGCTTGGCCCTAAGTCATGGGTCTGAAGAGATATCAACCCTGGCCAGTCTGGGTGGACTAGGAACCTGCCAGCCTTGGCTTTGTCATTCATTCAACAAATACCAGGCCCCTACTGTTGGTCAACACCATTGGAGAGGAACTGTAGACATGCTAGGGTGTAAGTGAAAAACAACGTGGCCTGAGAGGAGCCTGAGCAGGTCATGGGGACGAAGGGAAGGTTGCCCCAGGCAGGAGCAACAGCTAACACAAAGACCTTGAGGCTAGATCTGGCTGAGGAAGTACAAGGCGCTGAGTGCAGAAGTGGCCCTGTGAAGGGTTTCAGGAGGGCGTCAGCTGGAAGGCGGGGTGAGTTCTAGTGGCAGGGAAGCAGAATCTGTACTTGTATGAGGACTTGCTGGAGGGGGTATCCTGGAAATGAGAGGATATAGAGGGCTTCCTGGAGAAGGGATTCCCCCAGGAGGACCCTTTGATCTGCCTGGGCAGAGAAAGCATGTCTTCCCAGGCAGAGGATACCACAGAGAGATGTCCTGGGCCCTCCCAAGTAAAGCATATGTTTGTTTCCACCTTCCAGCCTGTCTCCCAACCAGAGGGACCCCTTAACCCTAGCCTCCTCCCCCAAAGCCGCCAACTCCACACAGCTGAGCAGGCCTAGGAACTCAGGAGAGCCTGCCGCAGGAAGGGCCATGGAAGTTGCTATTGGCATCCAGCTCCTTTTCTGGTTTCTTCTTGGGTTCCAAATGAGAGCCTGCCATGTGGGCCAGGAAGGGATTGCCATCCTCACCCCAGTGCTCCCTACAGCAAGGGACAGAGGCATAGGCAAGGTGGCTAAGCCCTCCCCAGCACACTGCAGGCTAGGTCCCTCCCTAACCAGGGGCAACTGAGCCTGATTGTGCAGGTTAACTCAATCCCCTGAGTGACCTCTGGAAGCTGCTTCCAAATTCCCCTGGATCGGCTTACTTTGAGGATATAAATTAAAAACCACTCAGCCTCAGGCAGCAAATGGACATAGGTTCTGTTGCCACCAACTTCTAAGCTGCTCAGGCTCAATTCAAGTATGAGGCTCTGGGCCTCAGGCCACCTGAACTGAGCCCTGGAGGCCTGTCTGGACTCAGTCCATCTTGGCATGGGCATTTGTACCCATCTCACAGGTGAAGGAGCTGAGGCCAGGAAGTGGGTTATCTCTCCCTAGTGAGGTGGGATGACTGGGAAGGGGCACACACAGGTCCCAGGCTCCTGTCTGATTTCAGAGCAGCGGCAGCAACAGCATCCACAAGCACCTGCCCACCCCAATTAGTGCAAAGTGGAAGATTAGGGCTCTGCCCTGGGGGGCCCATGGTGTAGTCATGGAGACAGACCACATTATGAACAACCTTGGAGAAGGGAACATTCTCACATCTTAGAGAACAGGAATCTAAGATTACAAAGAAGTTAAGTAACTTGCCTTAACGTACACAGGATGGGATGGAGCAGACAGGAACACGGGCCCACTGTGACTCTAGCTCCTCTCACTCCCTCGGAAGATGTCAGTCAGAAAGGGCTGTAGGACCCAGCTCTTGCTGGGAGCCCAGCCTTTCCAGCTTCCCCCAGAGGTATCACCTGCCCCAAGCTGTAGGCTCCCCACAGGGCCACATGCTCCCTCAGGCTAGTCCCTCCCACCTCATTTCTTGACTGAAGTTTCCCTCTGCCTCATGCAAGCTAGACACCCTGCCTTGTGCCCCTCCCTAGGTCTAAGTGCCTGACAGCCAGGCCCAGCCAAAGGGTAACTAACCTCCCACCAGCTGGGTTTTGGCCTGCAGCCATTTGAGGGCAGACACTTGTCTATGAGACCCTCACAGACAGTGCTGTGATAAACTGGAGTGAGCCAGGTCTTCTCTAGACACAAGTTGCTCAGATAGTCCCCTCCCACTTTGACATGGCCAGTTAGACCCCACCTTGCAGTACTTCCTTAGGGGCTCACACTCAGTAGGGACTTGGCAGCACATGGAACTTTCTTGCACCACTGGGCTCCAGCTTGCACTCTGTGCTGTGTGATCTTGAGCAAAACCCTGCCCTTGCTGGTCCTCAGCTTCTTCTACATGCCAGGCCCCAAGAGACTTGGCAACAATAGACCTGCTGGCTCCCTGGCTAGAGCCCTTACAGCCTGCTCACGGCCCCAGGCTTCTCTTACTCAAGGATTTTTTTCCAAACCAGAGCAGCAAGACCGGCCGGTATTGGCCAGGCATGAGACCTTTGCCTTGTTGCCCCTGACCCAGGGCCCAGGGGCCTCTCTGGAGGTGGTGAGCTATGGCCTTAACCCTTCATTGACTTGAAAAGTGTCCTGTGGCCAGACTGCCCAGGCGATACACATATACCACACACCCATCCCTGGGAGATGATTTCTCATACAACTGATGGCATCAACAGTGTACCCCTGCAACAGGAAATAGGAGCCTTGAGTACTGTACACGTACTGAGGCCGGGCTCCCCGATGTCTCCTGTTATTCCACTAGAGGAGGAGGACACCACAGGCAATGCAGCTCAGACAGTCCATAACCTTCCCTACTCCCTGGAATGCCTGCCTACAAACCTGAAATCCTCCTCAGGCCGGACTTGAGTCAGGGACCCAAGCGGAGATACTGACAGTAAGGAGGCCCCACCCTGGGTAGCTAGAGACTTGGGGACACACAGTGGGGCAGGGGCAGAGAGCCTGTGGGAAAGAGGCCAGGGAACAAGGAAGGCATCTGTTTGCATCAGAAACTAAGCAAACATCTCAGCATGAAAACGGCTTCTTCCTCCCACTGCCCCTGCATGGGGTTCCCAGGAGAAAGGACAGCCCAGGCTCTTCCTCCCAGCTTGGGCGACAATGACCCTGTACAGGGTTCCCAGAAGAAGGGAGAGAGGGCCCAGGGCGCCACTCCAACAGGCACTGGTGGGCCTGAGAAAGGGACTCTGCTGGCCTCCCTAATCTTTGTGACACTCATTCTGACCTTCAGTGCCTTTCTACTTTAAAAAAGGCGATAGAGCCAGGTGTGGCGGTGCAGGTCTGTGATCTCAGCATTTAAAAGGATTATGAGTTAGAGGCTAGCCTGGGCTACATAGTGAGACCCTGCCTGTCTCAAAAAAATAAAAAAGAAGAAAGAGGAAAGAGAAAAGGAACTGGCTCCACAAGCATGGTTTTCTCTCCCTTCCAGCCTAAGGTGAACAGTAGATACTGAGGTGCTAGTGTGATGGCTCTGAGGGCCAGGCTAAACCCACTGCAGGCTGCGGCCCCTCAAAGGCTAAGCAGATGGTCCCCAGAGACTTGAGGGCTGAGCCTTCCTTTGTAGCAGGAATTAGTACATCTGGGAAGGCTGCTTCCCACTCAGCCATGGCCGCCCCAGCTGCTCTCCACCACGACTTCATTTTCCAAGCTCCTTCCTTCTTAATAATGAAGCGTCACCTTGCCACAGTTAATGAGGAAGGTGGGCAGGCAGAGCAGACCTGGCAGCCACAGGTCATCTGGGAATAGATCAGGCTAGGACAGAGCCAGATGGACAGGAGCCTCCAGGACCCCTCCTGGGCCCTAGAGCACCCCAGCTCCACACAGCACCTTCCAAAACTCCCATCTCTCCAATGGCTGGGACCTTGGGGCTCACTCTAACCTATATACCATACTAGGACTTGGTAATAGCATCAACTACAGGCTGGGCTCCAGAATACAGGGGACTACATTTCTAGGATAAGGTGTGATGGTCTGCAGGACCAAGTGTCCACCTGTTCCAAGAGCCCTTGCCATCCGTTGGGCAGCTCTGCCAGCAAGCATTTCCCAAGCCCCTGTTACTCAGGAGACCCCCCCAGGGTATGCCGATGCCAGGGAACAGGTGGTAAGCATCTGCAGGGGCAGGAGCTCAGCAAAGGTAGGGGAGGGCTGGAGGACAAAGAGATGCCAACGGCCAGGACTTGAAGATGAATTGAGGAACCTTGGGGTAAAGCAGAGAGCCTGGCTGGGGCCGCCCTAGACAGAGTAGACCTATATCCTCAGCCAATGGCTGCCTAGCAGGTGGCCCTGCAAACCACTGAACAAGGCCCCCTGGAGCCCCAGCTCCGCCAAGCCTTGGGCCCTTGCCTTAGCCCGTCCTTACCTGCTTCAGTGTACAGTGGGCATGTTCCCTTACTCAGGTTCAGAGCCCTGTGGAGTTGTGACTCACTCTGCCCTCCCTCTCCTCCTGATACCAGGTTGTCAGCCGGGTGGCTGCCCAACAGGGATTCGACCTGGACCTCGGCTATAGACTACTGGCCGTGTGTGCTGCAAACCGAGACAAGTTCACTCCCAAGTCTGCTGGTAAGTGTTTCTCTGTGGTTCCACAGGGTCACTGAAAAGTAGGAAGAGAAACTGGTGCCTCTGGGGAGGAGCTGCGCAGCTACCTGGCTCTAGGACCTGCAGATGGGGTTCAGTCCTGCATCTCTCCCAGCATGCATACTCACACCAGTGGCACTGCAGAGCCATTAGAGATTCTCAGATATTCCACACCACAACACAGGTCACCCATCATCTTGTTCTGCCACAGCAGTGACCCCTTGGCATAAGCCCTACGTCACCCCATTGTACAGGTGTGGAAACTGAGGGTCAGAGACATGAAAGAAATTTCACATAGCTAGATTGCACTGGGCAGAGCTATACCTAGGTTTGTGCTGCAGAGTCAGCATGCACAGTGACCCTTCTACATCATTCATTAATTTCTTCAGTCATTCATTTATTCATCCATTTATTCAAAATCCACTTAAATAAAACACAAATGAACCTGTCCACCTAGCATTCCTAAAAGCCTGCTCTGCAGATTGTCATCCGCTATGGCTTTGGCACAGCCCCCTGAGCCCATGTTTTTATAGGGGATAGAGAAGGTGCTGACCAACGGGGTACTTGAAACACATCGTAGATACAGTTTCCACTGGGTATGGTATCACATTCCTATAGCCCCCAGCCCCTTAGAAGACTGAGGCAGGAATGTTGCTTGAGCCCAAAAATTTGGGGCCCATCTGCGTAAAAGAGGAAGACCCCCATCTTAAAAAAATGATCCAAGCTGGGCATAGTGGCACACACCTTTAATCCCAGCACTCGGGAGGGAAAGGCAGGCAGATCTCTGTGAGTACGAGGCCAGCCTGGTCTCCATTAGCGAATCCAGGCCAGTTGCGGCTACAGGGAGACTTGTCTCAAAAAGAACCACCAAATAAAGATCCAGTAGTTTTGCATCTGCCGCCAACCTCATAAGTGTGCTTAGGCAACAGGTACACGCAGATTTTAAACCACATAGACCAGTGACCATCTGGTCTTTTTCTTGCTGAGTGCATGGTTTCTGGGCCTCAGTTTATCTTCTTGGAAGGCAGAAATGATAATGAGATTTGCTTTGCAGGACTCATGGTAAGTTCTAGAAATATGTAAAGTACCTAATGTAGTGTCTGGGTGATACTAGCACTTTTTTAGATTCAGAATAAGTAATTGGAAAAGAAAAATAAATAAACTTTGATGTTACAGGCATTTTCACTGTATCTGTCAATCAGTTCTTTAGAGTGTCTCTGGAATAGCCTCTGAGAAAGCACTTAAAGGGTAGGCATCCCAAACGCAGGTTCGCACCGCCCTCCTCCATGTACACTTAGGGTCCATGCACATGAACTTTGCTTTACTTACAAAAATATACGTGGTCTCATGAGCCAGCCTCAGCCCTGAGACCTGTTTTGGGCCATTCTAGTTGCATTAAGCTTTTTATTTTTTAACTTTTGTTGAGACTGGGTCTCACTATGTAGCCCTGGCTGACCTGGAACTTACTGTGTACATCAGACTGGCCTTAAATTCAGAGATCCTCCTGCCTCTGCCTCCTAAGTGATGGAATTAAAGATATATGCCACCACACCTGGCCACATTGAGCGTCTTTCCAGAAATATTCTTTGCCTCACCCAGGGTTATCTGCTGTAATGGAACTGCAGGTCTGGTAATGAGTCATGACAAGCAGGCAAGGGAAAATCACAGCATGGTAAGGAAACACGTCTCTGGCGCCCGTTCTATACAGGTACCAGCCAGGGATAAGGTTGAAAGGGAATGGAAGAGTCAGGGTACCAAACTTAAGGAACCTCAAGTTTGGAGTAGGACTCTATAAACTTTCCTACAAAGGGCCAGAAGTATCTCTTGGAGGACTTGTGAACTGCACAAAAGCAGCCGGAGTGCTACGTAAAAGAATGAGTGTGCTGAGTTCCAATAAAACTTTATTTTTAAAGATAGCTTCCTGGCCCCTGGTCTAGAGGAAAACTATTTGTCAAACACTACGTGTGTGTGTGTGTGTGTGTGTGTGTGTGTGTGTGTGTGTACAGAGATGTGCACAGATGTGTACAGATGTGCACATACTTGAAAGTGTAAGTTCAAGCTGTGCTAAACGCTGTGAAGGAGGAGTCAAGGATACGATGAGAAGATTGGGAGGCACAGACCATGCTGGGGTGAGGAATCTTCCAAAGGTTAAGAAAGACTTGAACCTCTGAAGAAACCAAGGACAAGTCCCTTTGCAGGTGAAAGGAACAGTCTGTGCAAAGGTCCTGGGGTGGGAGGAAAGCATGGCTTTGCATCAGCACCCAGACAAGGACAATGGTTCTGAAACCTGAAGGCAGGGGCATGTGGCCAGTTGGAGGCTGAGAAACTTGGTGGCAGTTGAACCTTGCAGGCCTGTCTTTAAAGTTGTGTTGTCTTCAGGGTGATGGGAACATGTCTAAAATCTGTTTATGACAGCCGTCTGTTAGCACAGAGAACAGAGTACATGAAGCAGGGATCAGTGTGGCTGTACAGACCAGTAACAGATCACTGAGGGGGTCTGGAGTGGCTTGTGGTAGAGTTTTTGCCTAGCACGTGTGAGGCCCTGGGTTCCAGCCTAGCACAGTGAAAAAAAATAAAAAGAAAAGAAAGCACGCAAAAACCAAAGAGTATATAGACAGAGGAAAAAGAACAGGCTGTTCTGGAAATCCAAGTTACTCCTTGATACAGGAAGACAGCTCCCTGGTCCCTCTGTGACCTGTCCACTGGATCTCTTAAGCCCCTCCCCTGCTGGCATATGTTGGTATTCAGTGGAGTGCAGTGAGTCTCAGCTTTATGAGACACAGGATGTTATCAGCATTTATGGATGAGGACATGTAAGTTCAGAGAGGTCTTGTGGTTTGCCTGAGGTCACACAGCTCATAAATGACTAGGACTCCAGCCTCCTCCAAGGACTCTGTCTACTGTGTCTGTCACAGTTGACCCCAGGGCTGCTTGGCCTTTGTTTTCCTTGTCTTGGCACAGGTCTCTCCAACAGGATCCTGCTTCTCCAATACTATTTTCAGCATCGATTCTGAAACAGGATTTTTTCTTTCCTCCATCTGTATCCCAGCAGTACCCAACTCTACAATTCACGGAGCCCCTTCCTGTGCTCTGCCTAAGATGAGGGAGGGCTCAGTATACCCATTTAGCAGCTGGTAACACTGAGGCACAGTATGCCTATGGCTTTGTAGTGGTGGAATTCCCTTGTTAGGAGTCCAACCTGTAGGGACCAACAGCCCTGACTTACTACCTTTCCCAGATGTGCCCTTGAGAAGTAAAGGTGTCCCCTGGAGAGTCAGGGTATCCTCTGGGCAAGTCAGGATGTACCCTGCTTGAAAGGGCAGGGGCTTGCTGGGCACAGGTCAGGCCCCTCTCGGTCATCTTGCCTACCTTAGAGCTGTGGCCAGAGGTTTGCCCACCTGCAGAGCAGCTGCCCTTAGGGAACTCAGTGGGCCCCCCAGCATGTGAGGCTGAGGAAGAAAGCCAGCTGGTACCTGACACTGGGTACCAGTAGATGCCACTTTCCATCTGTGCTTGTCCAATTTTCTGTCCTCAACACAGCTCCTGACCGCTCCCTTTTGCCCAGCAAACACACACACACACACACACACACACACACACACACACACACACACACCTCTCCCCTTGGTTCTATAATGGGTAGGAGCCTAACTTGATGTAACCCTGCCCTTCAGGTACATGCAGCTCGCCCACCCTCCCAGGAGACCCTGGTTCCGCACCCCCCCCACACAACCTTCCCCATCTGTCTGGGCTCCGCTATGTCTGGCTTGCCCATGCAGTTGTCTCTGTTCTTCCTCCCCAAGGGCCTCTGCTGTCTGTCTGTCTGCCTCTTCCTTATTGTTCTTGCCCGTATCCAGCCTCCTTGGCTTTCTCTGCCTTTCTGGGCTTCTCTCTGTCTCAGCCTTTATCCCTGTGTTGGATGTATGTGGCTGTACATGCTCATGGGTGTGAATGTATGTGAGGTGACTGTATATCTGTGTTTCTATGTGAAGTGTGTGGTGTGTGGCTGTGTCATGCCTGCGTATATTGTATGTATGTGGTGCTATGTGTATACATAGCCATCTGCCTATGTGTTTGTGCCAGGTGTATCTGTGTGGATGTGTGTGTGTCTATATGCAAGTGTGTGACTGTATATGATGCATTGTGTGTATGTGGCTCTGTGTGTATGCATGGCCATCTGTATGTTCATGGGCGTATCTGGCTGTGTGGAGCGTGTATACATGTGTCGTGTGCAGCTCTGTGTGTATGGTATGTATGTGGAGGGGTCTCTGTGCACATGGGCCTATGGATGTGCACAGCTGGGTGTGGGCTGAGGGAGGGGAGGGTGTGCATGGCTGTGGCTCTGCAATGTGTGTGTACTGTGCCTGGCTGGGTCTGTGGGAGCCTTCCCCCCCTCTGCCGTCTGTCTCTCCTGTCAGGAGGCCAGGCTGGGGCCCACGGAGGCCGTGGGATGAGATCATGCGGCGCTGAGAGGTGCTTTGTCAGGAGAGCTGGCGCAGAGCCTCTCTGTGCGCGTGGTGGTGGCCGTTAGTGCACAGTGGTGGCTGTGAACTGGCTCGGGCCCGGGGTAGCGCTGTGTGGCACGTGTGTGAGAGAGAAAGAGCACAGAGCACGAGCACAGCCCAGACACTACAGCTCAGGCAGCTGCCTCCACGTGGGGCCCTCGGACGCCCAGCCCCCAGCTCTTTGTTCTGCTGCAGGCTTTAGCCTCTGCGCGCACACGGGAGCAGGAGCACGCGTGCGCACATGCAGTCAGCATCCTCATCGCAAGGCTCCAGAGGGACCAGCTGCTCCCTCCTCCTGCCTGGTGTAGAAGGTCACCTGCCCAGCCCCCAGCACCTGATGCCTCTCTGGCTCTCCTCTGAGGCTGTAGCAATGCCCACCAGCTCCTCACTGCCACATGCCAGCCAGAGCCACTTGGCCGGCCGTACTGAAATGTCAGCCTCCTCTGCACTAAGTGGTTCCACCTCCTGGCTACGTGGGTG